AGCTTATATCACCAAAATTTGTGTTGAAATGGTAAGATTGTGCAGCAACTATGCTGCAGAAAATTTCTGCAACAGTATTGTGGTTTGGCAAGCCTTTTTGGGGTTGTAAGAGCTTCAAAGTTGAGTAAAATAAGCTACCTAAGTGGGGGTTAAGTCACCTTGAAAAGAAGATTGAAGGAAAAACTAGAGAACTAGCTTAATCTAAGCAAATTGACTTCAAGCAATGAGTTATAAGGTGCTGAAATTTTTGACAGCAAATTTCCTGTTACTGTACTCTGTTTAGGCTGAAATTTTAGGGAGATTAGGAGGAGTTTAAAACTGGTTAGAGGAGTAACTTCAAAGTAGATCAAGTCATTTTAGAAAGGAGTTAGGTAGAAGTCCTCTTTTAGCTCTAGAACTACATAGAAATCAGTTGAAAAGGGGGTTGAGAATGTGCAGAAAAATTATTTGACAGAAAATTCTGTTTTGGTGGAGAAATTTGTGGGAGAGCTAGAGTTCATTAAGGACATGAAATGGGAAGATTAAAAGCCTAAGAGAGGGGCAAAATTATAGGCTTAGCTTAAGAAAAAAAAACTAGGAATATAATAGATCACTTCAAGGTTAAATCTTTTAAACTAACATTAGGAATTCCAAGTGGATTAAAGGATATGAGGCTAGTAAGCTGAAATGAAGATACACAATTTAAACTAGAAAGAAATTCAAAATAACTTCTATGGAATTAAGTTAAGGAAGATAGGAAGGAGCATAATCTTAATGGGCAATGAAAAAGAATCTAGCAAGTAAGCTTTCATGACATATGGTATGCATTGCATCATACATTTACTTTACTTATGTTTGCATCTTCTCCACTTGTAGGAGAAGGAGACCAAGCCGAGCCTGAGATTGACCGGACAGATCCCACCAGTCATCCTTAGAATTTATCTACATTGTGAGTGGCACATTCTTTAAACTTAAAATTTTAAACTTAAAATGTATGCTTCATGATATAAATGACTTGTTTTCAAACCATACATGTATCTTTTATACCAAATAGAAACAGAGTGCTATGTTCTATGTTCCAGTGTATATGAAATGTTTGACTTGATTTTATGACTTTGGTGCCTCGGCACTCAGTTTTGCACGCCGGACAACCATCCGGGGCAGGTGGCAGTCATACAGCTGATGCTATGGCATTAGACCCAGGGAGGTCTCAGACACCACAAACTGTGTAGTCTGACCTGGAGTGGTGACCCATAGCTTAGGTTACATAGTGTAGTAGCGTCCGGAAATTTTTTTTATGATTTGATGTTTTCATGTTTTACTGCCCTTAGACATTATGGGCTGTGCACACCCCATCAGACTCCTATCAGATAGCGGTGAATGTGACCCTTATGATTCTTGACATTTTCATATTTGATGTTCTAAACATATTATTGAAATGCTGAATGTTGCAACGAACTTGCCATGATGCCTTGTTCTTATGTTTCCCTAGGATGCTTAGATTATATGGAAATCTGGCATGGAAGTTTGAATCATGTTTCTATTTGATTGATTCTTCAAGCTATGCTTTTATATACATATATGCATGTTATAGTAAAGGAAAAATCGCCCTGTTTCTGTTAAGTTTAAATTTTGTGCCATTCACTGAGATTCAATCTCACCCTTTTTATTTTCTAAACTTTCAGATCTTATCAAGAGTCCCGTCACCTACCTAGCCAGTTTGTGTCTATACTACAAAATAGTTGGGGCAGCCAGCAGAAGGTCCTTAGGGAATATTTTTGTCTTTTGCATATATTAGCATAGTATGAGTAGAGATGTAGTATTTAATAAGTTGTACATAAATATTTGAACTGCAACTAGTGAAATGAATGCATGTGTTTATGTATATTGTGAGTATGACTACTTTTGGTGGCATGCCTAGGTCTCGAGTATGAACATATGTATGTAGAAATGCTAAAGAGCATATGAGATTAGTACTCTGGGAGTATTTTACTAAAATGTCAACAGGGATACAGGTTAAGCTTTGAGATAAGGGGTTATAACGGTTGGTATGCTGCCGGATTTTCGATACCGGTGGGTGCTGGTTGTTGCCCTGGCTGCCATACCTTGCTAAGTGCCAGAAGGGAGGGGCGTGACAACTGCTAGGGGACCTGTTTCACCACCGTCTGCCTACAGTGCGGTTGCCTCTACTGATAGCATTGCTCGTTCAGTCCCCATACCAGATTCTTCTCTGTCCGACCCTATTCAAGTCGGATCATTTAGCACATGTTGTAGCAGTTCTGGGAAGATGCTGATCAGACCTGTTGGTGACGTCGGGTAAGTATTATTCAAAAAATTTTAATAAATATTTCTTAATGCATCAAATATCAGTATTAATTTTATAATTTTTTGTTGTTGCAGATTTCATCCTTTGACGGTTGCTGCTCATGCCATCACAGCGGTCATTCAGTCAAATTTCGCGTCGTGTTATACCACATGGAGGACAGTTCCTCGTGATTTATGATTTGATGAGTTCCAGGTTCGTATTTCAATGCAATCATGGTTAAATATTTTTATCTTTAATATTAATTGATATTTTATTAACTTTTTATTTATGTCTTCATGCAAAAATATTGTACATGGGATCCACGAGATAAGCCAGCCATTAGACCGATATTCAGTACTCGTGGATCTCATAGGCTTTCCGATATGCTGAGAAATGCTTGGATTAGAGGCAAACCAAACTGGATCCCGCCTTTGTGTGCGAGGAGTTTCAGACTTATTGGAGAGGAGAGAGGTTTAGTAGGGTAAGCTCCCAGAATAAAAAGAACCGCTGTTCGGAAAAAAAAAGGGCAGTTCTCTCCACATAGGAGACTCTATTCCGCCATACGAGCAGGCTATGAGAATGGTAAGTTTGATTCCTGTACATAAGCTTTATTATTATCTTATAGTTATAAATAATCACACAATTTTTATTATGTATTATTGCAGGAAAAAGAGACCGGGAGGATTCCCATTTTTTTGAGATATTTAAGCATACACATGTTAGGAAGAAAAATGGTGGGGAGATGTGGGTGGACCAGCAATCGGAGAAGACTTATGTAAGTGAATTTTATTTAACATCTTTATTAAATTTTATGTAATCATACTTATATTATTTATTAACTTTTTATAATTAACATTTTTAATTATTAAACTTATTTTATGATATACTTTGTGTATGTAGATTGACTTTCAAGCTGCCCGATCCTCCCAGTCGACACCTGATGAGACGTCTACTCCAAAGTCTCAGCGGATCACAGACACTCAGCTGTGGGAGAAGTGCGCTGGGGGGAGAGCTTTCGGCCGTGTACACGGTCTTGAGCGGCAGAGTTCTTCTCTATCAGTGCATTATCCTTCATCTGACAATGTGGATCAGTTTGTGAAATTAGGAGGTGCAGACTCTCCGTTAGGAGAATCAGGAGCTTCGACAAAAGGTGGGGAGTATGGAGCTTACCCTTCAACACCTGATTAAGGTGGTTGAAGGGATGAGGAGCACACCACCTGATCAGCCATGTTCTCCAGTGCCTGCTCACGATTTCGACTCTTCTGCATCTTAGTCGGGCGATGACGGCTGTCGGCAGTGATCTTTTTTTAGATTTTATTTCATATATATGTTTAGTGATACACTATTTTATGTTTGTAATAAGATATTTGAATATTATTTATGCACATGTTATTTTCAGTTTTATGGTTTGTCCTAAATAAATTATCATAAAATATATATTTTAAATATTTTTAAAATTAATATTAAAAATTAAATAATTAATAATAAAAAAAATTTAATAATTAATAATATTAAAAATAATTTAATATTTAACAATAATAAAACAATTTAATATTTAATAATTAAGAAAAAAAATTTATTTTCCTTTCCAATTTTTGACGAATTACTTGCGTTGAAATTTTCCGACACAATTTTTGCATTGGAATTTAGGAATTTTCTGACGTAAGTTTACCGACGCAATTTGCGTCGGTAATATGTCGCTATTTTCCGATGCAATATTTGCGTCGGTAATTTCCGTCACAATTTTTGACCCAGAATTTTGTCGGAAATTTCCAACGCAAAATTTTTTGCATCGATAAATTTTTTTCGACGGCAATTTTTCTGACGAATAGTTTTGCGTCAATAATGCCATTACCAACGCAAAATTCTGCCTTATCGATATTTTTTTTGCGTCGATAATTTACATATTTCTTTTAGTGGATGAATTTGAACTCAAGTTCGAAGATTTTGATTCAAATAGTAATTAGGATGGAGGGATAATTAGCGACCACTTACTTTTATATTGAATTGTCAAATAACATTTTCAAAATATTCAAAAATATAATTCTAATTATCAAATAACATTTTCAAAATATTCAAAAATGTAATTCTAATTGTCAAATAACATTTTCAAAATATTCAAAAATATAATTCTAATATTGTATATGATAATTTTTCTTATATATTTACAATGTTTAGTTTTTTTTTTCAAGTTTGACAAGCTGTAGAAATATTATTTTTTGTTTGTTAAATTCTTCATATGATTTTGTTGAACTTTTCGATTTTCTCATATTAACAACTAAACATTCTTCATTTCAGAATATCCACTTGATGCATTTATTCAAATACACAGATATTTTTGACAGTCTTGAAATAACTATTTTCCTTCTATTTCAAGTGGGCTGACCTAATGCGCTAGATCAGCAACAAATCATTTCCAACTGCGGTTTCACCACTGTTTCGAACCATAGTTTCTTCAGGCCACAGGCACCAGCCCGGGTAGCAAACTTGCGCCCTAGTTACAAGACTACCTTGTACCTTTTCAAATGGCACAAACTGTCACTTTCTGAGCACTGTCGATTGCCATTTGCAACCATCATCGATGGAAGGTTATGCTTCTCATGCCTTCATCCATTTACACACCCCCCCAGTTCAAAAGAAAAATTATTACAAGAATCGATAAGAGACAAAAAGGAACAGCAGCTAGTTGGAACATAGTTTACAGCACAAGTCTGGTTTAGTTGTACATTTGTTGCAGAGTGGATTTGAGAGCAAAATACACGGCCCGCCATCCTGCCTGTGTTGGATGCACCATGTCCCAGAAGAAAGCCCCATCTGGGTTGTCACACACACTGTACATCTTCTCCCCCTTGTCATCCATGCTACCGCAGTAGTAGTCACTGCTTGCACCCATACAACAGGGCTTCAATGGATTCTCAAACTTCTGGCTTCCTGCAGGGAAGAAGTTTCGGAAGTAAAGCAACAACTTAAAAGGAGATATCCCACACTCGCAACTTTAAGTTGCAATTTCTAAGTTAGATAATAAAGATGATAATTTAACTTCAACGTAATGTTGGAAAAATTAACTTTTGGTCCTTAAGATCTATCCAAATTGCATTTTGTTCTCTGTCATTTCAACTGTAAGACGTTTAGAGTATGCGGCATTGAAAAATAAGAAATGAAAAGAAATGATTTGTGAAGCTTGGTGGGAAGTGAAATAATTTGATTTTCTCATTATATTATTTGAATAACCACAAAGGAATATGGGAGAAATAATTAAGAATGGTTTACTAAATTCTGCTCTTACTTTTAATTTGTATTGGTGTACTTACAAGGGTAATTTTCATGATCCAACAAATTCATTAAAAGTTGAATTCTATTCTCATGATACCTCAATTATTTGGTGAGAAAGCAAAATCATTTTATAGGAAGCTGTTGTTTCTCACCGATTCTTGTCATTTCTTACCGCTTAAATTATCCCAAATTTTACCATTTCTCACCCTTTCTATTAATTTCTTACCACATTAGTCTAAAGATTTCAAATGTATGACTAATTTGATCCGCGGTTAGTTTTTGTGTGTGTGTGTGTGAAAACCAAAGTTTCTTCCCAAATCAAGTGACTAAGTGAGTCCTTTCCCAGATTATTTAATAACTCAGATATCCTCATCATCTCCTCAATTGCACATAAGGTGGGGTTTTGCACGTGGTAAACATAAAGTTTCTCTTTGAAGAGCTAAAGGGGGGACTAAATGTTTACACTTTTTCTAATTTGGTGACTAAATATGTTATAATTGAAATTAAGGAGGCCAAAAAGGAATTTGGATGAATGTTTAGTACTAGGATTTGAATGTTATCTTTATTTTTGATAATTTTGGAAGGAAAGAGATATCGACCAATCACAGTACCACAGACCTGACTCGTTGATACTATTAATATTGATTACTGAACCAGCGGACCACCGTTGAATTTGCTTTAGACATGGTTAGCAGGGTTGTGATATCTGAACTGACCCCGCAAAATGTTATGGGAGCAGCAGAAGCAGATAAACAAAATATATATTTGGAAAAAAAAATAATTTTCCCTTTATGTAGGAAATTTATTATGCAGAATGGCTTGATATTTGGGAATGGCTTGATATTTGGGCAAAAATCATTTTACTTAGTTAAACTTTTTTCTTTATATTTTTTATTTTTTAAATTTTACAATGTATCATTTACCCCCTTAAATACTAACACCTATAATTTGCCATTAAATTTGCCTCCTAAACTTTCTAATTTAAATATTAGATATTTCTAAAATGAGAAAGGATCAATTAACACTTGGTATAAATATAAGACACTTACATCATATCTTACACCGTTAATTTGGTCAAAATCAATGGATGATATTAATTTTATTTGTTGAAAATTGTCGAAAATTAATGTCAATTAATATCATCCATTAATTTTAATCAAATCAACGGTATGAAATGTGTAAATACCTTACACTTACATTAGGTGTCAATTGATCATTCCTCTTCTAGAATAGTTAATTGTTAACATTTTAAAAATTTAAGTTAATTTATTATATTTGATAATAAATATTCTTAAATGTATTGAATCTTAGATATTAAAAAACACAATTAAATTTGATAAAATTAATTTAAAATATTTACATTACTTAACTAAATAAAGATTACCAATTATGAATAGATAATTTGAATTTAGTAGAAATTATGAATAAATAATTTGAACTTTGTTAGGTTTTAATTACGAGTAATTTTCACTAAATTTAAATTGTTTATTCATAGTTGACAATTTTTTATTTAGTTAGGTTATGTAAATAGCATAAATTAAATTTGCAAAATCTAATCATATTTTAATTTAATATCTAAAATTAATTTATTATAACATATTAATTTAAATTTTTATATTTTAATAATTAACTAATTTAATAATAATATTTTTTAAATATTTAGTATTTAAAATTGGAGAGTTCAAGGTAGTTCTAATGGCAAATTAATGGTGTTAGTATCCAATGATAAATGGTAAAATTCATGGAGTAAATAAAGCAGAGAAGGAAGTTCAAGGGTATAAAATAATTTTCCCTTGGTAACATTAATGATGTTTGGGAGTCAAAACATAAGAACTTTTTATATGGATCCAAAGAAAAAAATTGTCAAGTTAAAAATATTTTGCATCTCCAAATACCCTTATTACTATACAAATACATGTTTATAATTATACAGATACATATTTATAATTACAATAATATAGCTTGTAATAGTTAAAAGCATATATTTGTATAGTTATATTTTAACTATACAAATACATGCTTATAACTATTGTAAACTAGTATTTATATAGTAATAAAGATATTTTAGAAATATAAAATATCTTTAATTAGACAATTTTTTTCTAACCCCAAATTGAAATAATTTACGTTTTGATCTCCAAATGCTATTAAAATTACTAAACTGTCCTGCTCAATAATTTTCTCTATATGTTTCTCTTTGAGAATAAAAAGAAAATGGGACAGAAAAAGAAAGGAGGAAATAGTGAATTACCAAGCTGATCACCTTTGTTCTTGAGCACAGAAGTGAAGGAATCATAGAGGTCAAGGATGACGAATGCCGAGTCTTTAGTCTCATTGTTCAGCTTTGCCACTGCTTGCCGAAGTAAGAGGTTGTGCAAGTTCACTGCCGTGTTCTCAGTTTCATTGCATTGTTGGAAAGAGTTAAAAACCGTGCTTTGCGGGAGGCATCCGAGGGGCTGAAGAGCCGTCACCACCACCTTTCTGACACCCATGCCTTGGATGCGCTTGAGGTTCTTGGCTAGTTGATCTATTACGAGAGCTGTGAAGGATGGCAAGTTCTGGAATACGAAGAGTTCAATATAACATGAAATACAGAATGACAAAAACAAGAAAAATGAAATTTTCTTTAGACTTTCTACCTGTATTTTCAATTATCAAAACCCATGTTTTATTGCTCAAGAAAGTCGGGCCTTCTTAAAAGTTTTTCTCTTCTTTGTAGTTAAAAAATTAGGGCATGTTTCATTTCAGGAAATGTTTTCTGTTTTCATTTTCTATTTTTATTTTATAAAAATGATTTTTGTTTTCAGATTTTTAAATTTTAAAAAATATGTTTGATTTAATTTGATTTTAATATTTTCTATTTTTAGGAAATGACTTCAAATTTTCAGTAATCGAACCAGTCCATTTTGACACTGGGACAGGACAACCCAATTTGAAATTTTTTTTAGTTAAAGATGGGTCAACCCGAATAAACAGGAATGGGCCGAATTGACAGTCCCACCCAATACACACAATTCCAACTAACTCTCTCACGTTGGCTTGAAAGTGGATTTCTTAAAAACGAAAGGTAGGAAGATACAAACCAGCTTTGTATCATGGGTCGTTATTTTTTTCCTAAAAAATTAACTTAATAGGTTGCATAGTATTTATATTTATAAATTCAGAATTTTCTATTTTCTTATTCGATGTGAGATTGTGCTCGTAATATTCTTTTCTACTAAGTTCTATGACACTCTCGTCACATATAAAACATTCTGCTTACCTTACTTCAGATACTTAGTAAGATATTGAAATCAATTTAACTCATTTCTAATATCACTTATCATGAATCATTACTTTTTTATCTAAAAATTAACTTAATAGAGTGTATGATGCTCATGTTTATAAGTTTAAAATCATTTTTATTTTTTGTCCGATCTGCAATTGTCCCGTGACATTTGGATTTAAGAGGAACAATCGAGACATGGGAGGTGAGTTTGGGCAACTGACAGGGGCATTGCTGGAAAAACCAACGGTATACGACTCTCTGATGCACTAAATGCCTTGCCCCATAAAGGAGGCCACCACCTGACGATAGGCCTCCTCAACAACGGTCCATTTGATGCTGGGTGCTACCCCAGTGGGGCAGCGCCCTAGCATCGTGACAGGTGGACATTTTAGTTTAAATTTTTTATTTTTTATTTCATATTTACTTAATTAAATAAAATTTAATTGTTTAGATAAATTTTATATGTTTTGGTTGTGTATATCAATGTTAATAATTTTGAATTTTTGAATTTTTTATGTTTTATTTTTAAATTTTAAAATAAAAAATAGTTTTTTGTATTTTATTTTTAAATTTAAAATGTAAAAAAATAATTTAATTATTTATAAAATAATTTGTTATTTAATATCATATTTAGATTTTTTTTATTTAATTAAATATAAAATAAAATAATAAAAATAAAAGAATTACTGGGTGCTACCTCACTGAGATAACACCTAGCATCAAACCAACCCTCGACAACGGGTGGGATTCGTTTGCTCAAAGTCCAGCATTCAAAGCCTTCCACAGATTTTGTCAGCTGCATTATTATGCCTACACTTGTCCATTCCCTGGATTCCTAACAATGCTTCCCCCTCTGCATCCGACGTCAATTTTTGCCACTCCCGGAAACGTTAGAGTTCTGACTTGATCACTTTACGGGGCATGGTTGCATTGGATGTTGAATCAATATTAATACTTAATAACAATTCAATAAATATTAAAATTAATAATTATATTTAAAATTTTTCAATATTTGAAATAGTTATTTTTTAAATTAACATTTTATGTAACAATTTTAATTAAAAAAGAAATAAACACTATTTAATTTTTAATCATATTGAGCATTTAACAATTATTTTACTTTAAAAATTCAATTTCACTTGAACCCTTTTTTATATATAAGTGATTCATAATAAATTTTATCAAATGCATTTATTTTTTTTATAAGTTTTAATGCATTCAGATTTATGGAATGAATTATATTATCATAAAAGCCAATATGACTATTCTAGAAATAAGGAATATCTCAACTTCAGCTACTTGTAGGTAATTTATAATACGGTAAAATTTTATTAATGGACTAAGAATAGAAAAGAAAACTCTAAAAATATATTTGATAAATATTTTGGAATAAAATTATTTATTTTCTAGAGAATTAATATTCTATCATCTAATAAAATTATTAGGACTCATTCAGCAATTCAGATATGAGTAGATAAAGATAATATATTTATCCTTATTCATGTTCAGTAACTAGGATAAATAAGGATTGGATAAAATTCACATAGGAAAAAGATTAGATAATAATCATGCCAAATTTGAATAAACTATACTGGGAGAAGAGATAGAATAATTTTATCCGATCCTTACCCAGCCTTTTTGGACAATACTACTCTTACTATTGCTGCTAGCCGCTACCTTCTATGCTTTAGCCAAACAAGATAATTATCCAGATTACTATGCAGTTATGACACTTTATTTAAAACGTACCCTATCCTACCTTATCCTATCTAATCTACCAAACGACCTCTTAATTATATAATTATTATAATACTCTCTACTTTTTAAATAAATGATAAAACTACCCTTTAGATATAAAAAAGTATAAATATTTATAATAATAAATATTATTATATTATTTATTATATATGTTATCATAATATAATATAATATAATATATTACATTATATATATTATATAATTTATTATATTTATATAATATATATATGTATATAACTTATTATATATATAAAGTGAATTTAAATTTTAATCTTAGAATAAAAAATTTTAATTTTTTTATTTTTAATATGTTAATGGTATATTAAAATGTTAATATTTTAAAATTTTAAATCTTTATAATAAAGTGTAATTTTGTCTTTAAACTTTTTTATTTAGTTTTCTATTTTTATTTTAATATACCAAATATAATGATAGAATAAATTTTTTTATTCTATTAATATAAATCAAATATGCTCATAAAAGTTTTGATTATATTCTATTTTATTCTCATTGCTATTATAAGAAAATTCATTATACTGTATTATATACCTCCTCAATTCAAAGAAAAGACCTATGAAAGACGGGAGAGGGAAAAAGGGGATTATGTAACCTTTGCTTGTTTGGTCATAAGGCCAATGGAAATGAAAGGGAAAAGGGAATGCCTTTCCTCCCTCCATAAAATGTAATCCACCCAATTTTGGAAGGAATGAGATGTTGGGCTCTTTCATGGCCATTGAGATAAGCGCATTTGAGAATTGTATGACAGTGACAAAAGAGAGCCTTATGGTCAAAAGCATTATGGCCGGCTTCGCCAGATTAAGTTGATAAGCTATATACAACGAAAGATAGAAGCTGCATAAACAAACTAATTTCCTTCCAACCTGAAGGAGTTACGAGAAGTTACAACTTTTCTTTCCATTTAAAATCAAATGGGCTAGGTTGACTAGTTACGGGTGGACCGAATTCGACCCAATATTTCCAACATCTCCCATTCGCATGTGACGTGATCAATAAAGACCCTTGTCATTTTAACATATCACAATTTTCATAATAAGGCAAATAACTTGTGCGATCAACAAATATACTTGAGTATTCTATTATGTATCATTTAAGAGTACATAACTACTAATTAAAAAATTTACATATATATATATATATATAGTATCTTGCCATACTCTAAACTGATTCTTTAACGTATCAATTCAAGTATCTCTGATTCCTCAATAAAAGAGCATACTTGACCAACTCTCAATGTAATCAGAATTATGTCATCCACACTAAATAGATTACATAATTGGTTAACCAGTGAATACATATACGATACTGATAAGTATTGTATTTCTTTTCGACAAATAACCTTCAATCATCAATTAGCTGCTTTCCTAAACATGTCTCTTTAAACTGAATGATACATGGTTATAAGTAACATACTAAAGTAGCAACACTAAATTGAAATTTCAGATTATTGCTAAAAGTCTATAAAGGTATTTGATGAGATTTAATAATCTCAAGGGTCTCACATAGTAAAGAAGCAGGGATTAATTCTCCTACTAATCATTTTTGTCCTTTTTGGCACATGTGGTATGAATCACATGTTACAATGTTATCTCTTTCTTTAAGGAAACGCATGTTAGTACAAATTTTAACATCATCCAGATTTAAGTTCAAACACACATCAATATTTAACTTGAGTTCTTCTCACTTTTTAACCTTATCAAGAACTCATATTTGGCTTCTATAACAGGTTAAGTAAATGTATCACATAAACATTTACTTCGATCATTATGACTAAAAATGATCTCATCTTGACTCTCTCCCATTTATTAAGGCGACGATTTTATTTTAAGTTAATAAATAGACTTATTATATGTGACTCAAAATCTTCTAATCTCTTCATACACTTAGTATTAGAGTCGATTGTCCATGCGAGAGCACTAATCTAAAAACCCATTGACATGCTTTTTATGTACTCATGAACACAATTAAACATATATGTGCGTGCTTTAAAGATCATGGCATATCTAAACAAATTCTTTTTTCATAAAGAAGAATTCGTACAATTTGTTCACAAGTACATTATATTTTTCGTAAGTCCATAGGTCCAACATGACTTACATATACATCATGGGGCTTAATGAAAGGATCAACTAATATTTGATTGGTGGAGACATATTGTAATGTTACTTTCTTTTTAGCAATAATATCTCTCACATACTGATAACGAATATTAATATACTTGGATTTATTGTGATATTTCTAATCCTTTAAACAAGCCAACATAGCTTAATTATCACAATAAATTAAAACAGGTCTCCCACTATTATCAGAATTCATTAGATTCTCTGAATGTTCAAAGGGATAGATATGTTTTCATTGGTGAACATCCAAATGGAAGTATATCTGAAATTGAATCACAAGATGTAATATTTCTTGAAAATGAGTTTCCTAGTCATGGAGAGATTGATCAAACATTTTCTCTTTGTGAGATAAATGAAACAGATCAATTAAATGATGAGTTCGTGAAAGAAACTTAAATCTCTCTAGCTAATAAAGGTAATTTGTTATCGAATAAACCTTCTTCCTAGGAACTTGAATTAAGAAAGAGTTCGAGAAAACCTATTCCTCGTCGTAGATTTAACGTTGAGGGGGAAGCTCTCATGGTCGCTCCTATAGAGGAAGAAGAATCACATACTGTGGATAAGGCATTGAATTGCCCGGTTAGGGAATAGTGGGAGAGTGTAATGGAAGAAGAGATAAAATCAATGAAGGATAATAAAGTCTGGGATTTGGTCAACTTACTTGAAGGTCGAAGAGCTATTGGGAATAAATGGATTCTCAAAATCAAGCGTAAAGTTGATAGCTCAATAGATAGATATAAAGTCAGACTTGTTGCTAAAGGATATACCCAAGAAGAGGGTATAAACTATCAGAAATTTTCTCCTCCATAGTCTGATTTGCATCCATACAAATGGGTCGGGTTGATCCATTATAGGTAGACCAGATTCGACCCAATATTTCCAACACAACCAAACAAGATGGACCCATTTTCTTGCTAAAGGAATTCTCTTCCTTGGGGCCTTTCCTTTCCCCTTTTAGATACACATTCAAACATATTAAATGAAGCTACATCACTGTTAGTAGACGATCTAGGAAAAGTGTTTTGGTGTTTTTAAATGATAAATTATAGGGGTGTTTGTGATTTAGTTTCAACCTCTAACTTAAAACCAAACTATATGCCACGGTTTATGACTTTTGAAACTAAATCAAACAATAAATACCGAATTGAACTAAACTAAATTATGACTTACAGTTTGATTTCTTTTAAAATCACGATTTATAAATTACATTTATTTAGTTTTACACCTCACATAATTGTAGATTTACAGCATAATCAATTAAATTCGATAATTAGAAAAAATTGTCATCAAGAAAATTTAACAAATTCATTAAAATTAATCATTAACTTAGTATGTAATAACCCAAATTAAGAGGTTTTTTTGAAGGAATTGGTAGTTTAAAGATCATTAAAAAATAAATAATAAAAAGAAAAGAGATTAGGGATTGAAACAGTAGAAGAAAGAAAATGGATGAATCAAAATAAAAGAAGAAAAAAGTTGAAAGATTAAACTATCACTTAAATATAGTTTATAGTTTAATTCAATTTATACAATTTAGTTTAGTGATTAAACTGTAGATTGAATCTTAAGAAAAAAAATTAGGTTTAAAATAAATTGAACCGAATCGAACCAATCCAAGGCATGACTTGTGTAAAATTGAACTAAACTACAATTTACTTTAATTTACTTGATTTAATTAATTTGATTCGATTTTATCATTCTCGTATTAAATTACAAACAAACTGCAGCTTCAGTATGTTTAACTAGGTTTATAGTTAATACCAAGAGTTAAGGCTTGTTTGGCAGAAAGTTTACCTGGGCTGAACCCCCTTTGGCGACGTAAGCGCCGTAGTCGTTGCCGGCGAGGGTGACGAGAGCCAGCGATGACTGCAAGTGCTCTCCGTAAAATAAGAGCCATTGATAAGGTTTTGGAAAAAATCTATCTGGGTCGTCATGTTTGGGTCCAAAATCAAGGTATCAAATACCCCCGTCCCTCCATAGGCAAAATTCATTCCATACCACAACTTATTCCCAGCAAAATCTCTCCATCGGTAAGGTACCGGAGATTTCAACCCCAGATGCCTAGCTGTAGATAGAGTATTTACCCACACATTAACTTAGCTTACAACAGCAAAATATTCATATTAATTATACTTAGAAACCCTAACTATGGTCAATTTCAAGTTTAAACCCCCAGCTTTTTGATTGAAACAATCAAAACCTTACTCTTTTTTAAGCTTGCTGTAATGTCACTCTCTTGTCCTTCAACTTAACGGAGATCACCATTAAATCAAAAGCCTTGAAGGCATAAAGTGAAATTGGATTGAAGTATTGGGTGCAAGTGATATTTGTGCAAGTGTAAAAAGCAAAGGTGAAACATTTTTTTTCTTCCAAGAATGTAAGGTTTTGACTGCAGTGATTGAAAGATCAAGGGAAAATCAAAACTAACTTTAGAATATAGGGATACTAAATCTAAATCACCAGAAATTTGATACTCAGAAGTAAGTTTCCTCGTTGGAAGGAGGAAAATTACTTGACAGGGATAGAAGTTTGGGGGTGGGTTTTATGGATATAATAATAGTAAGTGGGAAACAAAGTGAAAAGGCACAAATATGGCAGAAGAAAGCTCCGTGGGATCATGGTGGTAGGGAAAAAAGGGAATGAATCAAGGGTCTGAAGACAGACTAGCAAAGCACCCGAGTTAAAAATATGTGCATACTTTTGGACACACAATTAATCTATAATACATTGTTCAAATAAAAAAATATATCCATAGAAAATTTAAAAATTTTCTCTTACTAAAAAAATTAATGTAAATTTTATATAGTCTAAATTTTAATAATAATATTTTACCTTTATGTAAAATATATATGTATATTTTTGTGTGTGTGTGTGTGTAACCTAATTTATATCAATGACATATATTTTTTAAATTACCAAAATAAATAAATTTAAAAAATTTTATTGAAATATGCAAATTTTGACCAATTAAGAAGTGAGCTTAAACGAAACTGGTTTTTGTATGGAAGTACTTTCATGAAGAATTGACTTCAAGAAGTCGGTTCCTCACATACCCCTGTCGCCCGTTGGCACGCTGTCTGTCACTCCTTGCTGCCCATAGCTCATACGGCCCTCTTGCCCCCCTTTCCTTCCCTTGCTTTCTTTTTCCTGTATTTCTTGATCGACTAAAATCGGTTCTATGCAAAAAGTCTGTCAAGCTTAGATCAACTTTCCTTAAAAAAGTACTAGTCTTGTTAGAATCAACTTCTTACATGAGGTCGATTTTCTGATAATTGGCTTTATTTTAGTGAACAAACTTTTTAATTGGCCAAATTTATATATTTTGATAATTTTTTAAAAATTATTTATTATATAACAATATATACATGTACGTGTAAACGTGTGGTGGCGCACAAACATTCACTAGCACAAAAGATGGGCACGCAAGAAAGTAAGAATAGCGAGAGAAAAAGAGGAGCTGCTGAATCGACCTGTGGAGGGATAAGAAAAAGGGGAAAGGAAAAGAAGCTTAAAGGCGATTCAATAATGCAGGATTTACAGGCATAAAGACAAGACAGCTCAAATGAAAAGAATCCTGCCATCGTGACGGTATTAGAAAGGGTGGCCCGCCACCAACCCCCCTAAATTGCCCTAAATTATCGACTCTTATGCCTGCGTGCAAGGGGATGCCTGTGGTTAAATTAAAAATTGACGGAGAAATTCAAATTAATTTTAAAGTAATATTTTAATATTTGTTAAACGTGTTTAACCTTTTAACGAGTGTCCTTTCATTTTTCTCACAAGAAAAATATTTTCACAAAATTAGAAACTAGATTTCAAAGTAAAAATAAGTAAAAATAAATTACAAATATAAAATACTAACATTTATAAAATATGTTATAAAATTTAAAAGTAGAAAAATAAACATTTTAGATGTAATTTTTATAATTTATTTTAGCATAAAGAAAAAAATTTTAAAAGTTTTAAAAATTTTGAAAAATTTTCATTGAGTAATTTTGAATTTAAAAAAAATCAAGAAAAAATTTTAAAATAATTTTTATTTAATTACAATAATACTACTTATAATTAGAAATATATGTTTTCCTCTGTTTTTAATTCTACTTTTTTATTTAAATGAAAAAAATAAAAATAAATTTCTAAACACTTTTTAAAACACTTCAAAAACAATTGTCTATATTAAAAAGTTCAAAATCATTGTTGTCAAATTATTACAAACACAACTTTTGAATATTACAATAGAGGGTAGTGAGAGAAAATATTGAATTAATATAAAAAATTAATAATAAATTACATTTCATAATAATAATAATAATAATAATAATGATGATGGCTTCTCAAATTTTTAAGCGGGAAAAAAAAAAAAACAAAGCTGTTTGGTTCGGTGCATTACCCCTTGTACTATAGGCAGAGAGGGTAAGGTGTGTTTGGTTTACATGGTAAAACCGGCTTCAAAAATATTTTGTTTATTTGATTTAGTTTTCTGAAGCAGTCTGAAGGGGGAAAAAAGAAGTCCAAAAGAGGAGCATCGAAGTGCGTCAAGCACCTTTGACCCAAAAAAACAAAAAAAAAAAAAGAAAAAGTAGACTAATCCATCAACCCACCCCTGAAGAGTAATGAAATTACCATATTTGCCATTCTAAGATTCTACTTGCAAACAGAGAAAGAGAACGCCCAGCAAGATGATAGATCATGTACAGGTAGAGAAAGAAGAAAGAAGATGTTGAGGGCGTAGGGTATAATAACATACCTAGGTAATCGGTGAGGACACGGCCGTCGGAAAACCTGCCGGCTGGTTTTCCGGGAAAGGTAATTCCGTAAGGAACCTTCCAAGATTTGGCCACAGATTTCCGGTTGTTGCCGGTGTCGGCGTAGGAGTCTCCGAACACGAAGATCCTTTTCGGTTGGAAACCGTAGAGTCCGCGGTGAGATAAGCCTTGCACGCCTCGATTATCTTTATATATACATATGGAGAGAGAGAGATCAGACACGAGTGTTAGCTAAAATTGATGAACCATCTGGCCAAAAACCATGAAAAAACAGAAGGAATAAAGTGAGAGTGCATACCTCCAAGAAGGAGAGAGAGGAGGAAAATGGAGGGTAGGAGTTTTGCTGTCTCCATGTGAAGGAGGTTATGGACAGAGAGAGAGGGGGGGGGGGGGGGGGTGAGAGAGAGAGAGAGAGAGAGAGAGAGGAGTAGGAGGAGCGTAGGAAGGAGCGGATGTAATATAGAGCCCAAAAGATACGGGAGGGAAGTCTTCTACCCATTGGATGACTAAGCCCGCCCTTTTTTTAAACATTTATCTTGTTTGGTTTTTTACTTCTATTTTGATATATTAAATATAGTTATATAATATATATTTTTATTCAATCAGTATATATTATATATATTTATAAAAATTTTAATTTTATTCTTACTTATGTTACATCAAAAATTAATTTTATCATACTATACATTACATTAATTCGGAGAAAAGGTTAAATGATTGAAAGGCGTTGGAGGGAAAAGGGGAATTGCACAACTTTTGCTTGTTTGGTCGCAAGGATGATGGAAAGAGAAGGGAAAAGGGAATGCCATTCCTCCCTCCATAAAATGTAATCTGCCAAATTTGGAAGGAATGAGATGCTGGGCTCTTTCATGGCGAATAACATGAGACGCATCAAAGAATTGCATGACAGTGATAAAACAGAGCCTCACGGACGAGAGCTTGACTGCCGGCCTCACCAGATTAAGTTGATAAGCTACATACAGAGAGAGATGGAAGCTACATATACAGACTGGTTTCCTTCCAACCAAACAACAGCCTGAGATGCTGCAAGTGCACTCCGTAAAGTAAGAGCCATTGATAAAGTTTTGGAAAAAATCGATCTAGGTCGCCATGTTTGGGTCCAAAATCAAGGTATTAAATACCCCTGTCCCTCTGTAGGCAAAGTTCATTTCATACCACAACTTATTCCCAGCAAAATCTCTCCATCGGTAGGGTTCCGGAGAACCCCAAATGCCTAGCATAACATATTAACTTACAACTACAAAATATTCATATTAATTATACTAAGAACCCCTAACTATGGTCAATATCAAGTTTAATGCCCCAGCTTTTTGATCGAAAAAATCAAAAACCTTACACTTTAAGAAGTCATTCCTGGAGAATAATTGGCTTCAAGAAGTCAAATCCTCACACACCACCTGTTGCTTTCTCACTATAAGAAAGTAGGCGATTTTTGACAAACAAATTCCATCAAAAACCCAACATTTCCATCGAAAATTTCTGACAAAATTTTCGACGGACATTCTACTGTCAGAAAACATCCATCGTAAAGGATATCCAATGAAAAATTCATTCCGTCAAAATTTCATTGGAAAAAATCTTCTATCAAAATTTATGTTCATCGGATGACCAAAAATGCCGTCAAGCAGATGGATTTTTGGTAGAATTTTCGATGGAGTTTCCAATGTCATTTCCAATGGAGTTTTTGATGGAGTTTCCATCAAAATTTCTGACAGTATTTTTGATGGAATTTCTAACGACATTTCCATTGACTTTTTTGGTGACATTTTTGGCAGTAGTTTTGTAATTATTTTTATTTAATATTTATTATTTATATTTTCAATTTTTAAATTTTTAATTTTTATATTTTACATTATTTTATGATTATTGTAAAATTTATTTTTTTCTAATTTTTTATATTTTGTATTTAATAAAATATAAATTATTAGTAATATCCACGTAATATTGAAATTTAAATATTTATAATTATATTAATGAAGTAAAAAAATTATTTTATTTTTAAATTAGAAATAAATATTCCAATACAAATTAAAAAGTTGCAAACATGAACAAAAATATTCCAAATAAACAATACACATAAAGTATTATTGTGTGTCGGTCTTATTTGACGTATTATCATTATCGATGCATGTCTCGGAATTGGTAGTGACGATGTAGAAGAGGTAACTCTGGATGGTGGAATGGATGAATCGTGACACTTAAATCACTCTATCATATTCAACAACCTCTAGATAGTTTCATTCATAACTCCCATAATCGCCTTTATCGTCCTCACCTTTTGGTACATCTTAGCCAGTTTTGCTTCTAACTTCACAGTGTGAGACAATGGTGAAGTAAATGCTAACTGGGAATGTGCACCTGAAGACGGTTACAATCTTAGCCCATATATGCAATCCCTCGTCATCCCGCCAACTACACAAGCCCAAATCTCTATTTTCAGAGTAATACTAATAGAAAAAATGCAATTAGTAATCGGAAATTAGTGATCGCAGTAATGGGTCACTAATTAATTATTGATTAGTGGCCTAGTGGTGACCGACTAAGACTTATTTTTTTGGAAAATAATAATAACCGATTTGTGACCAGTTTTATGACCACAGACATTACAGTCAGAAATCAGTCACAAAATTAGTGATTACAACAGTTTTAGTTACAAAAGAGTTAGTAATTAGTGACCAAATATGATCTGGATACAAAATGGGTCACTAATTAGTGACCCTCTCTTGGTGGGTCACAAAGAGGGTCACAAATTTGGGGATGGGCCTTTAGAGTCGGTCATTGATTAGTGATCCCTATTATGGGAGTTACAAATTGGTCACTAATTACTGACATTGACTTTGGCAGTTACAAAAAAGGGTCACTAATTAGTGACCCTCCTTTAGGCGGTTACTATTAGAGTCACTACTTAAAGCAAATGATATTTTTACTGTGGTCACTGAATTATGACCCTTTTTGTTGATTACAAATCGGTTAGTAATAAAAAAATTTTGTAATTAAATATTTAGCTCACCAAGAGGGAAAAATTTAGTTATGAGCATATCTTTATTCAGTTATAGGCATACCTCCATCTATTGAATTAAATGGTTGACTAGTTCAATTATGAGTAGAGTTGCATTGAGTTACAAACACAAACTCATTAGATACAAGTAGAGTTTCATTTTGTTATAAGTAAAGGTTCGTTTAGTTATAAGCATTATTTAGCAATTTTAGTAGAAGAGAAAATTTGAATGACCATTTTGATTACAACCAGAGATACGTATAGTTACAAGTAGAGACTCTTTTAGTTATAGGTATAGCCCCAAAAAGTTACAAGAAAGATCCATGGGTTGTTTAGCAATTTTAGCATGAGAAAATATTCGAATGACTGTTTTAGTTACAAGTAGAGATAAGTTTAGTTACAAGTAAAGATTAGTTTAGTTACAAGCATAACTCCGTTTAGTTACAAGCAAAATACACAAATAATTGAGCAATTTTAGCAGAAGTAAAAATTTGATTGCTTGTTTCTGTTACAACCCGAGATCTATATACTTACAAGCAGAGGCCCGTAAAGTTACAAGTATAGCCCCTTAAGTTACAAGACAAATACACGGTTTGTCCAACAATTTTAGCTTAAGTGAAAATTTGAATGACCACTTCGGTTACAAGTAAAGATATGTTTAGTTATAAACAAAGACCTGTTTAGTTATAAGCATAGCCCCGTTTAGTTAGAAGCAAAATACAAGCACAATTTAGCAATTTTAGCGAAAGTGAAAATCTGATACAGTTTCTGTTACAACTAGAGATATGTATAATTACAATCAGAGACCTGTACAGTTATAAGTAAAGACCCATTTAGTTGTAGGCATAGCCCTGTTATGTTACAAGTCAAATACACGGTTTGTCTAGCAATTATAGCGTAAGTGAAAATTTGAATGACTGCTTTAGTTACAAGCAGAGATCTGTTCAGTTACAAGCAAATACATGTTCAATTATAAGTATAGCCCTGTTCAGTTACAAGAAAAATACAAGAACAGTTATAGCAATTTTAGCGAAAGTGAAAACTTGAGATTGTTTTTGTTACAACCAGAGACTTGATCAGTTACAAGTATAGTCCTGTTAAGTTACAAGACAAATACATTGTTTGTCCAACAATTTTAGCGTAAGTGAAAATCTGAATGATCGTTTTGGTTGCAAGCAAAAATATGTTCAGTTACAAGTAAAGACCCGTTCAATTACAAGCATAGCCTTGTTTAGTTACAAGAAAAATACAAGCACAGTTCAGCAATTTTAGTTAAAGTGAAAATCTGATACTCTTTCTATTACAACCAAAGATATGTATAGTTATAAGCTGAGACCCGTACAATTACAACCAGAGATTAATTCAGTTACAAGCAGAGATTTATTAAGTTACAAGTCAAATACACGATTTTTCTAGCAATTTTAGCGAAAGTGAAGATTTGAATGACCGTTTTGGATACAAGTACAGATACGTTTAGTTACAAGCATAGTCCCGTTTAGTTACAAGCAAAATACAAGGACAATTGAGCAATTTTAGTATAAGTGAAAATTTGCCAGACTTTTTGTTACAAGCAGAGACCCGTTCAATTACATGCATAGCCCCGTTAAGTTACAAGACAAATACATAGTTTGTCCTAGAATTTTAGTGTAAGTGAAAATTTGAATGATCGTTTCAATTACAAGTAGAGATATGTTCAGTTACAAGCAAAAACTTATTCTGCTACAAGGATGGCCCTATTTAATTACAAGCAAAATACAAGGACAATTCAATTTTAGCAGATGTGAAAATCTAAGACTATTTCTATTACAACCAGATATCTATATAGTTACAAGCAAAGACCCGTTTAGTTATAGGCATAGCCCCTTTAAGTTAAAAGACAAATACGAAGTTTGTCCAACAATTTTAGTGTAGTTAAAATCTGAATGTTTGTTTTGGTTACAATTAGATATTTGTTTAGCTATAAGAAAAGACCCGATCTGTTACAAGCATAGTGCCATTTAGTTACAAGCAAAATGCATGAATAGTTCAATTTTATAGGATATGAAAATCTGAGATTGTTTCTGTTACAATCAGAGATCTTTTTTGTTACAAGTAGAGATCTGTACAGTTGCAAGCAGAGACCAGTTTAGTTACAGGCATAGCCTTGTTAAGTTAATAGACAAATACACGGTTTGTCCAACAATTTTAGCACAGTTAAAATCTGAATGACCGTTTCGGTTACAAGACGAGATAAGTTCAGTTACAAGCAAAGACTCGTTCAATTACAAGCATAGTCTCGTTTAGTTACAAGCAAAATATAAGGACAATTTTACAATTTTAATGGAAATGAAAAATTGATAGAGTGTTTCATTTACAAGCAGAGATCTGTACAGTTATAAGCAGAGACCCGTATAGTTATAAACAGAGACTCTTTCCATTACAAGCATAGCCCAAATTTAGTTACAAGCAAAATATAAGGACAGTTTAGCAATTTTAGCACA